CTCTCTTATCTAGGTGGATGTGCAGATATATTAATATGTGAATAAAATTGGGGATGGCTTTGACAGCACAGTACCAAAGTGGCACATAAGAACATGGAGACGACGCAGCAGCACCGACAAGCTAACAAACAAAAAAGCTACTGACATACAAAATTTAAAAGAAGAGAAAAAAGGAAAAAAACAAAACAAATAGGCTGAAAAAAAAGAAAAAGAAAAGAAAAGCCTGTTAGTAGTTCAAGGCCTGTTTGCTGACATTTAGGAGCGTTTTCTGGACGAGTCTAATGGGGTGCCATGTCCTGGCCCCAGAGTCCATCGTTTGTCTTCCCTCGGGGCCTCCTTGCTCTATACAGAGAATTTAGGAGAAGCTGTAAGCCCATGTGGAATGGGGAAGTTGCTGCATAATGCAGAGAACACTAACAGTGTAAATGGTGTCTATTCCTGGCTTTGCTGAGAAATAGGACAAGCAGTAACCTCCAGACCCGTACTTTCCTATCTGCAAGGGGAGAGAATGAGAGGAGATAATCTCTGTAATTCTTTCCAGGTCTAGCATTCTTGAATACTCAATTGCTCAGGTTTCTTGAAGAAAAATGCAGGATGGGAAGACTTTCCAAGAAAAGTGAAGTAAAGATGAGCAAAGTATAAAAGCTGCAACAAATCAAGTATGTGCTATAAAAAATAAGGAGAAAAAACTACTAGCATTTGTCACATGAATAGTAGGAGAGAATGTAATTAAGCTTCAGAATACACACATACACACACACACAGTTTATATATATATAAACAACCACCCTCTGCACTTGAGTTGTTTCAGACTCTAGAGACTCTATGGAAGGCTTCTGAGATTATAAATCTTTATGGGAGCAAACAACCTCATCTTTCTCCCACAGAGTGGCTAGTGGGTTTGAACCAGAACCTTGTGGTTAGCAAATCAACGCCTAACCCATAGTGCCAATTGACTTGAGAGTGCAGCAAAAGAATGCTCATTTTAACAGATAAAAGTATGGTAGCAATATTTTATTGAGAAGTCTGATAGTCTTGATGATGTAGTGGGTTACCATGTGAGGTAGTTAATTTACGGTGCCAATCTGGCCGATAAACACATGTGGGGTTAATTGAAGGGCAGAAAGATAAATGGCTCAGCGAGCAGCGCCTTTCTAGTTCTCAGGTCTCTTGCTTTCTGATGGTCGGACCAGGGTGCAGCTGCCTTAGCCAGCTCCCTGCTTTAGCTTAGCCAGCTCCCTGCTTTAGCTCGCTTCCTGCAAGACATCCCTGAGGAGAAGCCACATGGACCTACCCCGATGCAGCCCTGGGTGCTGGAACACCCGTGTGGAGACCCCTGTCAGTACTGAGATGCTTACGTGTTCACTGACTCGGCTTTCCTCCTGCAGTCAGCATCATTGTGTCTGTTTTGTGAGATAGAGGAGGACTTTGTGGATTGGTGTTGGACATAGGGGTTAATGGGTTAATGTTCGACTTGTGGGCTTTGACAGCACTGGGTTGGGATGTTTTCTTGATGTGCACTTACCCTTCATATACAACTCTCTCTTATACATGAGTTTCTGTTGATTTGCTTCTCTAAAGTACCCAGACTAACACATCATGTTTGGTTTCTAACCTCAGGGTCAGCAGTTCAATTCACCAGATGCTCCAAGGGGAAAAGATGGGGATTTCTGCTTCTGTCCTATAGGGTTGCTGTGAGTCAGAATCGGGTCAATAGCAATGAGTTTTCTTTCTTTCTGTTTTTTTTTTTTTAAAGCAGTGAGTTTCCATGAGAGTGAGACAGTCATACGGACAATGAACTAGACAGATGGAGAAACTGATGTTAGAAATAACCTAGGAAGCTGTGCTGAGGTGATCCTCATCAGCTAATGAGAACGAGAAATCATTCTGAAGAAAAACTGTAAACCAGAAGATTGGTGGGGAGGGAAAGGGAATGAGATGACCTTGATTAAGCCTCAGTGGTGAGGCCTTGCCAACTCGAAGAGCAGGCTTCTGTTTCTATGCCCTTGTCTTGGAAGCTCTCAACGGTGCTCTGTAGCCGAGTGCAACAGTCACAAAACCGATCTTCACCGACGATGAGAGGCGACCTCAGGTGGGTCAGAGTAGACTATGTTCCCCGGGGTTTTCAGGGGATCACCTGGTCTTTCTTCCAGTGAGCCTTTGTATGCAACACCCAGGGACTCTGCATAACTTCATAAAGACTTCTTGAATAAATAAATGTGATGCTGACATGTGTGGAATATAAATTAATACCAGTAATGCTGAAAGAATGCCACGTCTTCAAATCTTAGCTCCAAAGTAAACTCAATGCCCATAGCAACTCTTCTCAGCGTTCTACTTACCTTTGTGCAGTGCACTCTTTCCTCAACTCGTTTAGGGATTCCTTCTGGAGTTGAAGCTTGAGGTGTTCAGTTGAAAACGCATTTCCTAGAGAGAGATTGAAGGAGACAATTCTAGATTTTGCATTGCAAGTGAATGCTCAGCCTCAACCACACAGGCAGGGCTGAACCTACTGAGTATGAAGGGAAACGAGGAGACTTTGAAGGCAAAGTAGGTTGTGCATAGAGGTCTTCCAGGGCGTTGAACTAGAACAGACCTCCCAACATGTTCAATTTTCACACAAGTCATTCTCCATTGCTATTGTTGTTAGCTTCTGTCAAGTTGGTCCCTGTCTCACGACAGCCCCATGGAGCAGAGTAGAACTTCTCTCAACGGTTTTCTTGGCTGTAATCTTTATGGAAACCCTTTGCCAGGCCCGTCTTTCTAACACGAGCCAAATGAACAGAATTCTAAGCCTCCCTGCTGATAGATTTCTGAATTGCCTACCAAAGAATCCTGACGGGATTTCCAAATTCAGACAACTTCAGTTAAAGAAAAAGCAATAGATTTCTTTGGACCGTAAGTGCTACATAACAGTAGTGAAGATGAAAAAGCAGAGCAGGGAAAAGTTACCTGTACAGTGACCGCTATAACACAGCTGCTTAGACCCGTTGCCATGAAGACATTCCTACTCATGAGGACCCCACGCGTGTCAGAGTAGAAGTGTGCTCCATAGGGGTTTCAAGAGTGGATTTTCCACAGGAGACCATTACTCCTTTCTTCAGAGATGGCTCTAGCTAGACGTGAACTTTCAACTTTCATTAGCATCATGATTTCCTAACTCATTTTGGATGGACACCACTGGCCCCACACATGTGCTTTCAGCAGAAAGCACTAGAATTCTACCTCTATGGATAGTTACAGTATTTTTTGTCTATGGTAAATTTAACCTATGGTGAACTGAAATTTCATAACATGGCTCTTCTATTCTTAGTCCCTTTTGGGGATGTATTATAAATTCTAGCTTCCTATGCCTATGGCTATAATCCCATTTTGGAGGGAGTCCTCTATTGTGCTAATTGACAGGATTAATAAAATGTATTCAGGATGTCCACCTTACTAGAGGGTGTGAATCAAGTCCCACCCTTTATTCCCTTGGGGGTATGGTCTGCTGATAAGACAAAAAACATACCCCCATCAAAGCTAGTCTTTTATGAATTCCCAGAATCATCGAGGAATATGAGCCATGAATGGCGCACATTCAAAATCCCTGCCTAAAGTAGTAGAGGCTGAGCCCAGAGGCCATAGCACAGAGATCATGGGACAGAACAAAGGAGCTACGTTGAGACAGCGGAGTGCTGCACCCCTAAGACTGAGATAATGGAGTGGGCGTGCAGAGTGGGAGCTCCTGATCTGTGGTAACGTTCCTGATAAATTCCCATAATTGTAAGTCTGTAGCAATAGGGTAGCATGCCATTTTGCACATATTGTTACATGACCAAAAGAGAAAATTCCTTTGTTCAATATGGCAAAACACTGGTACAGATAGGAACTGAAAATACAGGGAATCCAGGATGGATGAGCCCTATAGGACCAGTGGTGTGAGTGGCAAAACAGGGAGGGTAAAGGGAGAATGGGTAGGAAAGAGGGAACCGATTACATGGAACTGTGTGTGACCTCCTCCCTGGGGGACAGACAACCGAAAAGTGGGTGAAGGGAGAAGTCGGACAGGGCAAGATATGACAAAATACCCATTTATAAACTATCAAGGGCTCATGTGGGAGAGGGGAGCGGGGAGGGAGGGGAAAAATGAGGACCTAATGTCGGGGGTTTAAATGGAGAGAAAATGTTTTGAGAAATGATGTACAAATACGCTTTACACAATTGATGTGTGTATGGATTGGGATAACAGTTGTATGAGCCCCTAATAAAATGTTTTAAAAAAAATGAAAATAAGTCCTAAAAGTACTCTAACTAGCTAGCCAATAGGGTCATGTGCTCTGCTTACGTGCATCCAGGAGGAAGATTTATGTGCTCTGTGCACTGTTTTGATTCTTATAACTTTTTGTTAAGTCTGAAATGATTTCCAAATAAAAATAAGAATAAATCTAGACCCAGAAAAAAAGTAACTTGAGAGATCATAGGCTTTTTTCACAGGCTTTATCAAAATTTAGACTTTAGAAGGCATTGGCATTATTATCCCTAAACATTTAAACTGCTTTTTTTTTTCAATTAGCAATAATCACGCCTCGGGTACACCTCATTGGCTACGATATTGCCACTGCGCAAAGCTTAAACTGCTTTGTAAAAATCAAACAGTGATATATAACAACACATTTAGCAGGGTAGGCTGTGGAATAAAACTGCGTGACTCTGCATTAGTTAGGTTCAGTTACTGAAGAACTAATTATTTGAAGATACCTTAGAAAATGCAACCTAAATTTCAACTCATTTAAGTAATATAGACAATGGCATGATAGATCTCTCTGGAGGCTGTTCAAGCTACACAAGATTAATGTCCAAATACGAGGTGATTGATGTGTCCTTCTAAGGGTATTACATCTTGAAGCAATGATGCCCATCTTTAAGATTAAGCATGTATCTTGCTTCTCACAGTTACTTCCTATATTTAGCATTGATTATGGACTTGTGTATGAATTGATTTTTACTATGTTGGTTATAAAATAAATTTCCAACTCCAGTAATCCCTAACACTTATCACTCAACATTTTAATACATGCAGAAGCCCTCCTTTCTCCGTAACTGCCTGTTTGTTACCAGTATGGTACCATAGGTTCAATTTCACTTTTCAATGATCTGTCACTTATTATTGCACGTGATTATTTGGGGGCTCAAATAATCCCTTATTTGGCCAGGCAAGTCTTCAGTCTAAGTGCTATGTGCTTGTGATATGCTACTATTGTGTTATTCCAAGTATTACCTTATAGGGGAGGTTGGGAGGAAATGAGCTAATCATAATGAGAATAAGAAATGTTCTAAAATTGATTTAGGTGACGAGTGCACAACCCTTTTTAATATGACTGAACTACTGAATTGCCATGGCATGTGTATTGTATGTCAGTAAAGCTTTAGAAGGTATTATTAAAGTGCTAAAGGGTCTGTAGTGATGTGCCTTCTTTCATGACTGATATTGATAACTCATGCTTTCTTTTTTTTGGGGGGGTTCATCTACTTTAGGCTTTATCAATACTATTGATTTTCAAAGAACAACCTTTTGGTTCATAGTCTCCAGTATTTTTTTGTTTTCAACTTTTCCCATTTCTGTTCATCATCATTACCTCTTCCTGCTAAACATACTCTTCTTTCTTTAGGTATCAGCTTGGGGTATTCTTTCCCAATATAAGCACTTATGTTATGAATTCCCTATATTGCTTTAAATGCTGATATATTATAATTGCATTTCAAATTGGTTAAAAATATTTCCAATTTTTCTTGGTGTTCCACTTATCTACATGTGTTTTGCATATTTCCAAAGCTTTGGTATTTTCCACCTATCATTCTGTTAGTGAGTTCTAGTTTATTTCTGTTTTGGTGAGAGAATGTATATCACACAGTTTTAATTATTTAATTCTGTTTTATGGTCCTGAATATAGTACATATAACTAAAAGTTCTAGGTATAGCCCGCTTCAGTATTCTCTAGAGTAGTGTTTATATGATATATATTTCCAACTTTTTACTTTTTATGTATATCTTTATAATTAAAGTGGGTTTCTTGTGCAGACAGAATATAGTTGGATCTTGCCTTTTTACTGAATTGGGACAGTCTATTGTTTTAATTGGGTGGCTTAGATTATTTAGTACATTTAATATAAACTTTAATATCATTTTGCTATTTCTCATGTTTCATCTGCTCATTATTTCTTTTTACCTCTTTTCTTTATGCTTTTGGATTGAAGGTTTTCTTTTTAAAAATAGGTCCAAATTTTTTATTCACTATTGACTTATTTAAATTTCTATTTAGAATTCTTAGTGTTTTTTTTAGAATTTATAGATTACCATCAAATAGTACACCATTCCATGTGTACGGTAAAAACCTTAAAATAGTAAATTCCCAATTATTCTTTCTTATTGCTCTTATATATTCTACATTTATGCATGCTATAAATCCACAAGTATTACTACTTTAGCTCTAGACAAGAGCTAATTATCTTTTAGTTACTCAAGATAACAAAAATGCCCTTAATAGTTACCGTTCTTTTAACAGTTTCTAGAGCTCTCAGTTTATTTGTATAAGATTCAAGTTTATGTTTGTCTTAGTACCTAGTGCTGCTGTAACACAAATACCACAAGTGAGTTGCTTTAAAGAAACAAATTTATTTTCTCAGAATTAAAAAGGCTGAAAGTCCAAATTAGGGTCTTGGCTATGTTGAATGCTTCCTTGTCAGTAGTTTCTGGCTTCCTCCGAATTCCTGGGTTGACAGAGGTTGCGCACGTGTGTGCGTGCGTGCGTGCGTGTGTTCTGGTCTTTTTGTAATTGAGAAGTGATTAAGCATGACCTCTATGGAAGGTAATCTGCTCTGCCCACAGCCAACTGATTCAAACATATCCCAATGAGTGATCACACTGATGGGGTGGTAGTGGGTCTGAGTACTTCACAAACTTTTTGGTGCACCCTCATATTACTGAGAGAATTTTTCTGCAGCCATCGCCGACCAGAAATGCATGTTTAAATACGCTTTGTTTGGAATAACCCTATGCATGCATGCACTGAAACTCTATTAGGAATACTTTTCTTTCTTTAATCATTTTATTGGGGTCCTTACAGATATCATAATAATCCATAAATCAATTACATCAAGCAAACTTGTACAGATGCTGCCACCAGTTTTCAAAACATTATCTTTCTTCTTGAGTGCTTTGATATCAGCCCCTTTAGTCCCTCCCTCCACCACCCTAACGCCCTCATGAATCCTTTATATTATTATAACTATTTTTTCATATTTTACACCATCCAATGTATCCCTTCACCTACAATTTTGTTATTTGTCCCCTCAAGGGGGGTTATACAGCCATCAATGCTATCAGTTCCCCCTTCTTGCCCTTCCACCCCCCTTCCTGTACCCTCATGGAATCATTACTCCCATTA